TTGTAAGTACAGTAGTTTGTGGGAATGTCCAAGACTTAACTCAAGTGGTATTATGGTCATAGGAGTGCATTGATAAACGGAAATAGGAAGTGCATCCCTAGTTGAAAATCCAATGTAGGGAGACAGTATCACAATTTCCGCATATTCTGATGTTTAATATTAAACTGATCAATATTGCATGTTTATTATTGACAGAACAGTGTGTTCTCTCAATATTAAAGTATTTCAAAGCAATCCAGGCATTAATTCAGTTGTTTTTTTTATCAATGAGTCACATGTGTCCATTTTTCTGTACTTCAGGAACCCGGCTACCTATTTCACTACTGTGAAGTTTTCAAGAAAGATAACTCTTTACATGCAATTACTGTATGCACATGGTTTTATTATAAAATGTCAATTTTTAAACGTTTATGGATAATTAATTTTACACAATTGCAGCATTTATTAAATTGATATACATTAATGCAATACTAATCTATGTCAGTATCATTTTTATTGACATTGTTTTGCCTAAAATTGTGTCTTTCATATTTTTTTCAAAACTCACTCCTTTTTACATAAATTCTCATTTCAAATCTTTTAAATTCTGACAACCTATATTTTTTTGTGGCAGAAAATTTTCTTTACTTCAACGCAATATAACTACAACATTGGAAGAAATTCTACTGAGAAATGGTGACACAATCCTATTACCTTAAGGCATGCAAGCATTAGCCTGCTCATTTGACCAATGACCACCACTATTAAGTGACTGTCTGCAGAGAGACACTTCCCCCATTTTTAGCTCACCTGGTCCGAAGGACCATGGTGAGCTTATGCCATATCGCAGCGTCTGTCCGTCTGTCTGTCCGTCAACTTTTCCTTTAAAACGCTACTTGTCATGAAGGGTCAAGCAGATTTTGACTAAATTTGGTCTGGAGCATCCTTAGGCCAAGGGGACTTAATTTTGTATAAATGGTGGGTTTGGCCCCCCTTGGGGCAGAGGGGTGGGGCCCAATAGGGGAAATAGAGGTAAAACCTTTAAAATCCTTCTTCTACCATAGGGATTAAGGGATTTTATCCTAATTTAGTCTGGAGCATCCTTGGGCCAAGGGGCCTCAATTTTGTATAAGCAGTGGGTGTGGTCTCCCAGGGGGCAGAAGGACGGGGCCCAATAAGGGAAATAGAGGTAAAACCTTTAAAATCCTTCTTCGACCATCGGGATTAAGGGATTTTATCCTTCTGGAGCATCCTTGGGTGAAGTGGAACCAATTTTGTGTAAACAGTGTGTCTAACCCCCATGGAAGCAGAGAGGAGCATCCTTGGGCCAAGGGGACTTACTTTTGTATAAATTGTGGGTATGACCCCCCTAGAGGCATAGGGGAGGGGCTCTGTTTGAAGTTTGTTGTCGTTATATCTCAAGTAGTGGATGGATCTTTCTGAAATTTCATATGTATTTACAGCACCTACCATTGAGTGCTATATCTTTACCTCATACCAATTATTTTAAACACATTCAGGTGAGCGATACTGGCCCTCTTGGCCTCTTGTTTGTACAATGTAGCAGTTCCATTGTCAAATAAACCTGTTTGAGGGTTAGGCACCATCTATGTTAAAAGACTACTAGTTGAACTTGATGAGAACTAGCTCATAATCATTGCATATCTGACTGTAGTTATGGATTTATAATTATAGTTTATATTTTGTTTTTGTTTCTTACTTACTTTAGAAATCTGCTCTGACGGAAATACTTCTGTATGTTTATAGTGCACTGTTGATTGTCTTTGTTGTTAGCAAAAGAATGAAGTGCCTGCAGAACCTATATCACAAACCTCAAGCTCATTAGTGAATCAACCAGATCCACCTACTGGGGGAAATCAACTACAAGGGCAGGCAACTCCAAATCTAAACCAACAGGGTCAACAGCAGGGAGAAGAACTAAACATGCTTACTTCAGCTGGACAACAGATTGAAAGTCAGCAAGCAGCTACTACATGGCAGAAAAACGTTAATAAGACAGGTAAAATGTAGACCTGTTTAGCTCACCTGGCACGAAGCTATGTAGTCAAATGTTGGTCTTTGCATTTATTTTTAGTCCCTCACAGGTACTTTACACAGGGGGACTATTAGTTCAAACACTTGGTCTGTACATCTGTACATCGATGTGTTAATTTGTTTGGGGCATATTTCACTGTTTCCTGAATTTACTACATTTTATGTGGGAGTACCTTGGGGATTGGTACTTTATTATCCCCCGCTTTCACCAAAACGGGGGATATTAATTTGGGTTTGTCTGTCCGTCTATCTGTCACGCTTCGTTTCCGTGCAATAACCACAACAAAATTCTTCAAACTCGGTCACAAGGTTAAATGCCTTAAGGGCTCGGCCAAGTTCGATGACCACTTTCAGCAGATCCCATTTGGCGGAGTTATGGCCCCTTGAATAATAAGAAAAAGGTCATTATTTGCGGCGCTTCGTTTCCATGCAATAACTACAACAAATATTAACCCATTTTCTTCAAACTTGGTCACAGGGTTAAATGCCTTAGGGCTTGGCCAAGTTCGATGACCACTTTCAGCGGACCCTATTTGGTGGAGTTATCGCCCCTTCAATAACGAAAAACGTAATTATCTGCTTGGTTTTGTTTCTGTGCAATAACTACAACAAATGTTAACCAATTTCCTTCAAACTTGGTTCGATTTTGATAAAAATTGGTATATAGGGATATAAAGGGACTGCAAATTCAACTGCATAGGTTTCGTTGCCATAGAAACTAAACGGAGGCTTCTGATTGGTTGAAATTTGATTTTTTTTTTATGAAAAATAGTTTATAGGGGTATTAGGGGACTGCGATCAAAACCGCATATGTTTCTTTGCCATAGCAACCACAAGTAGGCTTCTAATTGGTCGAAATTTAGATATTGTTCGATTTTGATGAAAATTGGTATATAGGGATATTAGGGGACTGTGAATTCAACCACATAGGTTTTGTTGCCATAGCAACCACAATGAGGCTTCTGAATGATTGAAATTTAGATATTCTTTGATTTTTATGAAAATTGGTATATAGGGATATTAGGGGACTGCGAATATAACCGCATAAGTTTACTTACGTTAACTACACAGAGGATTCTGATTGGTTGCATGTACATTGTAGGTGTACTATGGCAATGTGATCCTTTTCTGATGCATCTTTGCGACTATGGGGGCAGTTTGCGGGACATCTGTACTGGTCCCCCATTACAATTAGTACTTGTTGCTGTAGATATTGTTAAGATGTTTCAACCAAATTCCTTATGCACATCCAACTCATGCTAAGTTTGCCAACCGATGTGATTTGTGCATATTTACGGATGAGGTATATAGGGCTTTTTTTCTTCAAGTTTCAAGCTATACATTATGTCTTAACAGCACAGTACTCACATGTTTAAACCTAACCTCAATAATGTTAACCTACAATATTTCCTGCAAGCGGGGGATATACATTCCACGAACATGCTTGTTTCTTTTACAATGATTATGACACATGTTCTCTCATTTTAAATCAATCACTCCTGTTAGCCTGAAGCTAAGCAAATATGGGTTATTTATTCAGGAGGAATTAGGAATACCCAGAAAAAATTTACATCTCACATTCACATTCACATGGAACATTGTATCAATCTGATGTCATTGTACCCATAGATTTTGAATTTGAGCACGTCTTTTTAGGTTCTATTTTGTTATATGTTATATATTCCAGAAATCTCAACATCTTCCTGTTTGGTCATTGCCGGTATCCTGTTGACAGTGTTCTCGGTAAGTCCTAGTATTTACAATATCTATTGCTGGCAAACACCCTTGGTTCGAACCTGTGGTACTGTATTCTAATATACAGTTATAGCTGAATAGGTATTTTGGGAAATAGCAAATCTATGGTCCCCCGAGGGCAAAGCTGCAAAGGGAAAAAGTTTTTCACCAAGGGTGACCATACATTTGCTATTTCCTTAATAACCCATTCTATAACTGTTTTATTATAACGAAACAAAGTAAGGCAATGTAACAAATAAATTTATTAATTCATTTCTTTAAACAATTTCAAACAGATTTTTTAAAATTATAATTAGAAGTGCTGTATGCATTATCGTTGATGATATCTTCTTTTCTAGCATTCAAGAAGTGTTTTTGTAATCTGTATCTAATAGTTTATTTCCTAGCATATTTAGTCCCATTCACTTTTTTTAAGCTCCACCTACAAATATTCATGAGGGAGTTGTCCTCTTTCTGGCAGGGAGTAGTCCTTTTTTGGGGAGGGAGTAGCCCTCAGATGGATAGATTTAAGTGATTTTTCGAGAAAAGGAGATTTTGTCGTTTTGTTTTTATATAGGTAAACTCAGTAGAGGTATATTAACCCTGCCTAAAAGGGAATGTTAAGCTTTTATATAGTGTGATATCAGAGGTTTCATGACTGTACTTGCAGATCTACTAATAGTAGCCCTCCTGTGTTCATGTATTTTTTTCTGTTATGTTGAAACCCAAAATATTCACACTCCGGAGATCTGAACCAGCTCGTTACTAAACATATAGCAGATTCGATTCTGACTTTGAAACAAGAGCAGCAATTGGATGACAAGACAACAAATTGGTCACATTCAACCAATGAAACATTCTTGATTGTAGTACTGTTTGCTGTTCAGGACTGCCAGTACCAATGGCTTAAATGGTTCATCTACGATTTTATTTTCAGCCCACTATAGTTAAATTGTGGGCTTATCGAGTTGCCCTCCATCCATGGTCTGTAGTCTGTATGTTTCAATTCTTGCCATAGCTACTTCTCTCTTAGTAATGAATGGGCCTTTCTCAAAAATATGAATGTTCCCCTTGGTCCATAGGTTGGGGGCTAGTTATCATAGACAGTCAGACGCCTTAACCGCTGGGCCACTGCAGCTTCTTGTAGTGAATATGTGTTTTCATGATTTTTTGGGTTCTGCATAGATGATGATCTTTATTGGGGAGTTTCCTGGGCTTCTTTTTAAAAGAAAACAAACAACACCAATTCCCCATTCTCACAGTGAAATAAACATATTTGTTTGATCAGATGGTGCCTGGTTGTGCCTCAGCCCCCGCAAACAACTGTACTGGCCCAGACTACATTATACAAGAGAATGGCTATTGTTGTGGTGTAGTTAGCTGTGAAGAAAGTGAGTATGTTTCTGCTTGTGTTATTTTTTAGTCATGAAGTAAGACGATAAATTCCATTAGAACGATAAAATATGTAATTATGTTGGAACATTTTTATTCCCCGATTTCATCCTCATACATATGAGAAATCTGGGGCCTCATTCTCCTTTTCCATATTAAAAAAAAACATCACGTAGTATTCGTTCTGTGATGCATGATATGTACTGACTTAAACATACATACATGTAGCCTTCAGCTCGCCTGCCCAATAAACCACCAATTAAAAGTTTGAGGAAAATAATAATCCACAACTCAAACACAACACAATAACTTACCTTCCACTCATCATTTGACTTTCTGTTGCAGATTTCACAGTTTTAATGTGTAAGGTTCACTATGGCAATGACACATGTGCTCCTTGTCCGGAAGGAAGTTTTCTGTTGGATAACACAACTTCCGACACTGCCACAAGCTGTGTGAAGCCTGATTGTCTGAAAAGTATGTGCTATTTGTATTGCCTTTCATCAATGTCCTTAAACAAGTTTGACACTAATCAGAAGAACAAGATAGACGGTTGCCATCTTGGGTTTTTGGCTGTTAAAGTTTGCTATTGCTATTTTTGTAAGAAATACTGGACTGATCGTTCACAGATTTACCCTTTGTCCTTAGGTATACATGTTGAATTTTAAAACTGATTGGAACAACAATATGACTGCCAAGCAGTAATCTAGATCTGGATGGCTGTTAATTTAAGTGGCCATTCTGGATTTTGATGGTCAAGTTGGATGGATAGTGTTCAAATGAAGGTTCCCCTTGGTCTGACTATTATTATTACATGTTCATTCCAAGGCAGGCATCTTTGATTTTTCCTGTCAGATTTTAATTTGTTATTGCTATTTTCAAAGTTTCTATTGTAGCTTCTCTTGGTTCTTCGTTGTGTATGTTTCATTTCCAGCCTGATAGGAACAAAATGGCCACCAGGCAGACATCTTGAATTAGACCATAATTTTTCATCAAAATTAAAAATCTCCCTTGTGTTTTTTTTTCACACACAACTATTAGTCGAGAGGCCAGGAAACCACCCATCCTTGACATTCCATGTTTAACGTTTACTTACATTCTCAGCACCCCTGGAATATGTCAAGATAAAATTGGAGACTCATAGTTAGCAATTCAATTAGTTTCAGGTGAAAAATGATCAATCACAAGGCTGATACATATAGAAGTGCTTTCAAGATTACAGACGAGAATTTCCCCGACTTTTAATCTTACTCTTACACTGCTGAACGATTGATTTGATGTACATCAAAGGTTCAAACTAGTCTAGATGTATCGTCCACAAGAATATAATCCCTGGAATGTCAAGGAAAGGTGGTTTACCTGACTTCTTGATTAACATAGTATACCCTGGAATGACCAGGAAAGGTGGTTTACCTGGCCTCTTGATTAACATAGTAACCCCTGGAATGTCCAGGAAAGGTGGTTTACCTGGCCTCTTGATTAACATAGTAACCCCTGGAATGTCCAGGAAAGGTGGTTTACCTGGTCTCTTGATTAACATAGTATACTCTGGAATGTCCAGGAAAGGTGGTTTACCTGGCCTCTTGATTAACATAGTATACCCTGGAATTACCATGAGGATGGGTCTTTTACCTGGCCTCTTGATTAACATAGTATACCCTGGAATGACCAGGATGGGTCATTTACTTGGCCTCTTGATTAACATAGTATACCCTGGAATGACCAGGATTTTGTGGTTTACCTGGCCTCTTGATGAACATAGTATACCCTGGAATTACCATGAGGATGGGTCGTTTACCTGGCCTCTTGATTAACATAGTAGCCCCTGGAATGACCATGAGGATGGGTCGTTTACCTGGCCTCTTGATTAACATAGTATACCCTGGAATGACCAGGATTGGTGGTTTACCTGGCCTCTTGATGAACATAGTAACCCCTGGAATGTCCAGGAAAGAAAGACCTCTCTTTGAAAGGACAATATCAAACACAATAGTATGATGTTTTGACCAAAGGTTTCAACATAATACGATAAGAGAGAAAAAAAGATGAACAAAATTGAAGTTGCATAGAACTTATGTAGATCTTACCTGGTACAATATGGTACTAAATAAATGATATGTCTCTTTAATGAACTACCTTCAGACGGAACAAGGCCATCCCTGGTGAAGTCTACGACTATTGATCCCAATGCCTGTCCCCAGTGGTGTCAATGTGACATCAGCTTTAATTACTGTGGAACCGACCCATGTAACTGTCGGAGTGGAACTTGCCCATACCGCACCGTTCTGCAGCAGGATTGTGGATGTAAACTGATCACACCCAGGTACACAATATACCAGTACATTATATATTAATAATTACGGTTGTCAATGGTTAGCCGGAGCACGAACCGGTTACCAAAATCAACCGAATAGTCAGATATTTACGTACCCCGTTGGGGAGCCAAATGTTTCCCTGCCTTAGACCTACAAATTACTCATAGATACGAACAAAAGTGGATAGTTTTGTAATAAAAACTGTGTTCAGGGATAACATGTTGGTGTTGTTTTTGTACTCCATTATTAATACTGACAAAGGGATGCTGCAAACACCATAAAATCTGAACAGATTTTAAAACGGAAGCCAGAATACAAAATTGTGAAATATTAGCTAGGTAGAACATTCTTTTTACATGTGAGATGTATATATAATATGAAGAGTACACACTTGAATGAGCAAGCATGTCTTTAAATGTTCGTCAATTAAACTTTGTTCTAAAGAATTATGTTACCGCATTTGATTTCTAGTACAGATAACTGTAATTGAATCCTGCTGTACTGTATTCCAACATTTGTTGTCCATGAAAAATACATCCTGAGGTGACATGAAACTATTTCCTGCGTTTAGGTTGATATACGCGGTTAAACTATCATGCTAATTAATATAAACATGCCTGTTTGTGGTTGTTTGAAAACCAAATTGACTGATTAACGGATTACTCAATCGGAAGATTGTTCAAGTAACCATTTGACTGGTTTGACAACCCTATTAATAACATATACATTTAACATAGGATCATAATCATAACATACTCAAGCGTCACAGACTAAGTGTGTTTTTAGCTCACATGCCTGTCATGGCGCAGCGTTTGTCGTCAGTCAAAACAAAATTTGAGAATGAAAATAACCTTGACCTACTTTCAAGGTATCAGGGGTCAAAAATATGTCAAAAGCTTCAAACGACATCTTTTTAAGAACTGAAAGGTATAGAATCATCATATTTGGCATGTAGCTTCTTGGGAAGGAGCCCTACAAAGTTTGGGAATGAAAATAACCTTGACCTGTTTTCAAGAGATCAGGACTCAAATATGCCAAACACCTCAAACTTCTGAAGAACTGAAAAGTATAGAATCTTTATATTTGTCTGGAAGCTTTTTGGGATGAAGCCCGACAAAATTTGAAAAGAAAACGACCTTGACCTACATTCAAGATCACAGGGGTCAAATGTGTCAAACACTTCAAACAACTTTTTCTGAAGAACTGAAAGTTATAAATCATAATATTAAGCTGGTGGCTTCTGGGGTAAGAGCCTATAAGAAAGTTTGAGAACGAAAATGGCCTTGAACCTGCTTTCAAGGTCACAGGGGTCATATATATATATTAAGCCGGTGGCTTTTTGGGTAAGAGCCTATGAGAAAGTTTGAGAACGAAAATGGCCTTGAACCTGCTTTCAAGGTCACAGGGGTTAAACACTTCAAACAACTTCTTCTGATGAACTGAAAGGTATACAATCTTAATATTTGGCTGGTAGCTTCTTAGGATGGAGCCCAACAAAGTTTGAGAATGAAAATGACCTAGATCTACTTTCAAGGTCACAGGGGTCAAATATGACAAACACTTTAAACATCTTTTTCTGAAAACCTGAAAGTTACAGAAGCTTAATATTTAGCTGGTAGCTCCTTGGGGTTAAGCCTGACAAAGTTTGAGAATGAAAATGACCTTTACCTACTTCAAGGTTACAGGGGTCAATATGTCAAAAACATCAAACGACTCCTGAATAATCGAAAGATGACAGAGTTTGCAATTGAAATATTTGTAGAACAGTATAATATTTAATGAGAATATTTTCCTTTGACTGCTTCAATATCAAGATGAGCAATACAGGCAATCTGGGCATCTTGTTAAGTTTATTAGGCAGACAACATTCACCTCTAAATGAGAGGCTTCATCAGGACAATTTTACAATGTGTTAGACAACTAAAAGACTCTACGGGAGACAATGACAATCAATATATTTCACATTTCAAACCTAACAAAAGCTTAATCCCAACTCTTTGAATCAGGATCGTTTTCTACTCAGTGTTGTCAAATATATTTCTGTCATAGTTCATTCCTTATAATTAGCAGCTACTAGAATATATACTTATTTTTTAAGGATATAATTTTAAAATGACAAACTTTTTGTTTCAGTCCTACAAAAATGCTCCCAAAGGAGATACCAGTGACAAAGGGACATTTTACATCTTCTAAGCCTAGAATCGATGTGTCTACCGAAGGTAGTGCCTCGCCTAGTGCCTCGCCTGTAGATACTCCGACCCCTGGTAGTGTCACACCATTTCCATCTGACACCACCAAGGCCTCTGACAGCCAGCCGTAAGTATACAACTACAACTAAAGATATATGCATGTTCCCTGACAATCACAATTAGGTTTACAGACACGCCCTTCAATGTTGTCAGGAAAACATAACTGCCACACCCCCTGACAACCACAAAGTCATATAGACCATAGCTGCATCTCCTAACAAGGGCAAGATAGATATGGCCATGGTTTCTTGCAGAAATTTACCCCTTTTACCCCTAGAGATTAATTATGGGCTTTTCCAGATCAAAGGATGGATGTACTATAAAAGTCAATCAGGGGTGAAAGGGTTAATTTGATTGAACTTTATAGTACTACTTCCATCCTTTAATCGGGATAAGTCCATAATTAATTTCTAGGGGTGAAAGGGTTAAACAGTTCAGTGTAGATTATTCCAAACATCATGCCACTGGATACAGATCTGGTCAAAACTTCTGTCAAATTAAAATTATAGAACATCTATATTCTATGGGGATAAGCAGTCTGGCGACATCCCGAATACTGCTGTAAAGCTACAGTTAAGTAGAAGTCGGGGTTATATATTTTGAAGAAAATGTTTCACTAATCAGACAAGACAACACTGGTGTGTTTATAACTACCGTAGGCACAATTGTCTGTTGTTAACTAAAAATATAAAAGTATGACAGTCACACAAAAAGAAATGTTTACAAGTCATGACTGTTGGTTTTATAAATTTTTAGAACCAAATGTTCTCAGTAAAAAAGTTTGGTCTTTAACGATTTCTACCTAAGCACAAGTACTGTTTTTATATGTTTCAGAAATGAGGTTGCCATTGGTGGTTGGGTAGGGGGTGTCATTGGCCTTGTTCTCCTTGTTCTCCTTGTAGGAGTCATTATCTACAATTGCTGTTGCAAAACGGAACAAGGTAACAAAACTGAATTTGGTTTGTATAAATTGTGTGACATTTACATCGAGCATATAAAACAAATTGAAATTATAGGAGCAAAATATATATTTTTGTGTAAAATTAGGGGGATTAAGTACCGGTAATTTTACTGATAGAGAGAATTGTATTAAATCTTATTCTTAATCAGGTGTGCCATCTGCCCCTGTTGGGCCCGTTAAGATCTCAGACATCACCACAAACTCTGCAACACTTACATGGGAACCACCAGAACTTGATGGAGGAACACCAATAAAATCCTATATTGTGGAACGTCGTGATGCATTGGTATACAATTGGTCAAAAGTTGTCTCGACACACTTAACCTCCACCCCAGTTGTTGGTCTGCTGAAAGGTAAAGAATACTTTTTTCGTGTGATGTCAAAAAATGAAGAAGGTCGACACAGTGAACCCATTGAGTCTAAAGGTGTCACCCCTGGAGAGCAAGCAGGTAAGATAGCAAATTGTGATAATAAATTACCAACTGTCAGTAGGGTTTTCATCATTATTCAATCAATCGATCGATCAATCACCCTTCATCAGTCAATATCATGGATCAGTAATTATCATCATTCTTAATTTATCATCATATTACACAATTACAAAAGATAGATTATCATCATCACTTTCATCATCCTCCATGATAAAACATCATTATCATCATTTATTGTTCTTTATATACAATCATCATCATATCATTACACATCATCATCATCATCCAATCACTCGATCAATCATTCCTCATCAACCAACGTACATCATGTATCCCTAATTATCATCAATCATTCATTCATCATCTTTATCATTATCCTCATATGATTACACATCATTATCACAACTACTTGTCATCATCATTACACATCCTCATCATTGATCACTCAATAAGTCTTTCTTCATAAGTCATCCATTCAGGTATGATGAATTGATTTCATATCAAAGTACATGCATTTTAGTCACCCCTGGGGGAACCCTTGTGCGGACTATTAATTTTGGTTTTAGTCCCAGATTTTGACCTCTGTTGTCTTGGGCTGTTAAGTGTCTTGCTTCTATCAGAATATACCAGGCGCTAATTACAAGCTCTTGGATAACTCAGATATCAATTTCCTTTTTAAACAGGAATAGCATAGAACCTAAAGGCTTTCCAAATTTCCCACGGGAATTACATATAACCTAAAGATGTTCCGAGTATGAATCAGACACCTTTGAGGTTCCTGAAGGAGTAAATTGTCGTATTATAAATTGCTATTGACTGATTTAGATATTTTATGACTGACCAACGACTACCGTTAATATTTGCGTATAGTGCGCACTTTTTTAAGGGGAAAATGAAGTGTCAAGAAAGGGGTGTCCACGTTACTCAAGAACAATCCAAACCAGTCCTTGGTGGCAACCATTTCTTATATATTTTTCGAGGATTTTCGGAAATGTTTTGAAATATTGTAATGCGGATTTTCCGGCTCCGGAAATCGGGGTCCGGTTCCCGGATTTGATATTAGACACGTAAGCACGTTATCCGGGGTTCGTTGAGTTTTACCGCCATTAAAAGGTTGCACTGAAAACTCAGACGATCTTTGTGTTTTTATTGAAGAACACAGCCATCCATCCGGCACAACAAGTGGTGTCAGAAGTGGGGTATTGCTTATACGCCCTGCAGAGAGTTCAAAACCCGTTTCTATTTGTGTAATGTATTGCAATTTGTACCTCAAAGTGGACAGGATTCTGCTACAGGTAATCGCGCTGCATTGATTGTTTGTGGGTTGTTAACTTGTTACTCGTCATTTAAATGATTATTTTGTAAAT